AAGAATGTCGAAGAAAATCTGAATGTCTATAAGAATTACCAGTACCTTTTAGCTATTAATAAGTGACCATAAAGATGCAATACATAGCAGTACATTTTATTTATCCTTTTAATTGACCCTTCATTCTTAATAGCCATAAATGGAATATCTTGTTACTTAAATAGAGCATCTTCAAATCTCTCATCATTTTTCGCAACTATATCATCCAAAGTTGGGATGTCTAACAAGTATTTTTCACTGAAATAATGAATTACTTGGCCTTTTGTTTTATCTTTTCAGCCTTTGGGTAAAAAAGTGGGATAGAGGTGTCGAAGAACTTTGAAAGTTCAGATTGGATCATTTTTTTCTCAAACAATTTAAGATAATTTATAGTTATATCAAAACTCGAGGTATATTATTTGTAAGAAAAAAGTTTAAAATAAAAATAATTCCCTGATCTTATTAATAGATATATACAAATAGGAGGCAGAAAAAAGAAGACACAATCTCAAAAGGATCTATCCTAGAATTTTTATTATTGTTCATATATTCTTAGATTTAGAGAAGTATGTAATCAAAGATGTTATGATCTAAAGGTATATAAAGTCCATCAGAATTCTAGGCAAATTCCTTGTAAAGAATGCAGTGAGCTAACAAAATTTAGATATGACTATTGCAATACATATGCAAAAAAATATAGATTGAGAGAACATTATCATTAGAAAAAGCAGGCTAAATTGGCTTTGATGTAGATACTGGTAGGTAATTTAGAGGTAAATAAAAATAATACAACTTGTCACTAGTATCATAGGAAAAAAAGCTTGTGATAGAACTAGTGATGCAGATAATAGGCTTTTTAGGAATTCTAGGCTGAAAAAAAGTTTTCTTGATGAGTGTTACTGGTGTCACTACTATCACTAAAAAAAATCTGAGTTTCTTAATTTTTTTTTATTTTTTTAGCATACATACATACATTACACATATACCATAAATTTATCATATTATATCCCATATAGACTATAAGGATAGCATAAAAAATTTTCGATTTTTTTTCTAAAAATTACTACTTTTTACTAGTGACAATAGTGACACTAATCAAGAAAGAAATAAAATAGCCTAATAATCTCAAGAAAGATAGCAAACCCATTACTAGTTCTGTCACTAGTTCTGAATACTAACTGGTGACATTAGTGACAGCCAGGAATAACAAAAAATCTGCCCTATTTTACATCTTAATGCGTCTAAAAAGGTGTCAAAATACATTATAAATGATTCAAATCTTAGAACACAAAATTAGCATACATATATCAGCAACAAATAGGCAATAGTTGCTTTAGTTACAAGATGCGTACTTTTAGCAAACAAATAGGTTGGCCATAATAATACCTATTACACTTCTGAGAAGTATAATATCTCAGCCTCTGTTCCTGATGGCAAATAGATAGTTAAAAAGTAGAATTAAACTTAGTCAATGATATTGTGTAAGTCATCTAATGTGATTTGTCATCCTGTTATAGCAGAACTAGCTTATAAACCATATCATTTAAAATTTTCTTTACTAGTTTTGAGAAAAGCACAACAATTAATTTTTTTTTTACAGTTTTCAGAAATGTTCTAGAAATATTTTTGTCACTAGCCCATAACTATAAAAAGGTATTCAATACTATAATAGGATCACGTGACTAGCACAGTAAGGTCGGTTAGCACATAAATTTGACCAGATCTTTGAACATAATAACTCAGCATCCAAGCTGACCTGAAACTGGCAAACTAATAGAAACACTCAGGTTCCCTACTAGTTCCATAACAGCTTCAAGATACTACTATGATGTCAATTTGAGTTCTTCAGATCATGTATTCTAAAGAACAGTCAGAAAATATACCATAGTGCTAGCCAAATTTAAATGCAAATTTACATTAAATTACTGTGCTACCTGACCATAACATGATTTTTAGCAACTAAGATCAACCAAGTATTTTGATCACAAAAAGACCATAGAGCAATGAAAACAAGCAGATAGCTAGAAGGAAATAAAAGGAGGACAGAGCAATAAAATTAAGTAGATATCTATAAAGCAATAAAAAGATCATAAAATAATAAAAACAAATGGATAGCTATTTAGTCATAAGAAAACTACAGAGCACTAAAATTTATAAGTAAATAACATTATACCCATAAGTAGACAACATAATATCCATAAGTAGATAACATTAAACCTATAAGTAGGTAACATTATAATGTAAGTAGATAACACTTTTATAAGAGTGTTGCTTACTAATGTAATATTTAATTGATTTGAGAAGAGAAGAAATATAAATTATTAAAGAAAGTTGGTATATTAAGATACTTTTTTAGAATGAAATTGTAGTGCAATTCAAAAATATAAAGACAGTTTTTACTGGTGTTCAGTATAGAGATAAATTTAAGGAAATGATGAAGGATTGCAAAGTAAATATTAGTAAAAGAAAGAATAATAAGTTAATATTAATTGTATTTGTAAAAATATATTTTTGATATTTTAATTATTTAGAAAGTATATTAAAGAAAAGTAAGATAGAAGATGACTCATATTAGAAAAGTTTTTGAAAAGCAATTTAATCTCTAATCTGAAATAGACCTGGTTAGTTTAGTAAAACTTTCAATTGAAATTAAAAGTTATTAAAATTTAATATTATTTATGTTATTTAGCATCTTATGTAAAATGAAGGTGTATAAATTTAGTAAAAAATTTATTTTGTTATACATTTTAACCTAAATTTAATTAACTATATTTTATTTTTAATATTTTCAAACTTTAATCTACCCTCTTTCCACTATTTTCAATCACTTACCAACTTAAACTGATTCAATCTCCTGAACATATTCTGCTTTACAATTACTACAATAAACTATTTTTTTTTCTTTTTCTATTTTCATATATCATTTCTTTCAACTATTGTCTTTCCTTTTGTCTTTCCTTTTTCTTTACCATTCAATTATCTTTGCTTTTCTCTTTTTATCATAATTCAGTTTATTTTTTATAAAAAAAACCTGAATAAAACTTATCACTTTAGAATTAATAGTTATAAGACAATCTATATCTGATCAAGAGCAAGCATATATTATATACCCTTCCAAAAGTTAGCCGATTTCTATTATTTAAAATATTATGAGCCTGATCCTTGAAAAAATGTCCGATAAGTCAGGAATTCGTTATATCAAGTCGGACTGTTCACTATAAATGATAAAATACCCGGGTCTATATCGATTTACCTCATTTGAAATTTAATTATACCCGGGTATATTACTATGTGGGTACGCAGAAAAGGGGATCCCTTAGGCAGTGCTATACGGTACTATCACCACCACAAATATTTTCGAAAGGAAAATGGAAGAAATTTGTATAAAATTGGACAAAGTTTTACTTGAATATATGGATTTAATTTCTATATATCAAGAAAATTGGCAAAAGATAAGCAAGGATTTAGAATGTGTAAGTTAACTTTCTTAACAGAAACTATCTACTTAAAAACATCAAAACAGCCGAAACTGAAGTACTATTAACTTCAGGGCTATTTACAACTTGCTCATTCAAAATATACTATGGGACCTGGTAGATTAAGCAAAGACCAATTTGATGGAAGGATGCAAGCTGTTACAAGAAGGTGCGTGTATTTTCTTTCAATTACAAAAATTTCCGTTGTACGCTTTTTTTCATTCATAATTTCTATTGGTAGTTTGATATCAGAAGTTGAAGAAGAAATTTTAAAGGAACACAACTATCAATTTACTTTGATTAACGGGTATTTGGAAAATGATGATATTATTCCGGATGAATCAGAGTCTAATCAAATTAATAATAATTCCTCAACCCTTCGTCGACGCAATATAAAGGAATCCGAAACCGAACCGAATGTTACAACTAAGACAGAGCAGCCTTCCAAAAAACAAATTGTACGAGATCCAATACATTGGTTTGGACTTTTAGTTCCGTCTACCTTAAGGGAGTCACAAAAACATTTCAAACAGAGTAAATAATTACATTTCTTTATGAATGAATAAATTCTTTCTATAATCAAATAATAATCAATTTATTACGTTTAAAGGTCTAGTTAATATGGTTGGTCTCTTAAATATACGAAATGAAATATTAATGAAAGAAGTTCAATTCAAAAAACTGAAAAATCAGAAAGAAATGATTATGCAAGAGTTAATCAAGTCAAAAGAATCAATCAACGAGGAAAAAAAAACTCAGGAAAATGCATTGTAATTTTAAATTATTCTATTTCTGATTGATATCTATGCTACTTCTATATGAAGTGACCACATTTTGGTCTAATGTTAGTTTAATTCAACGACGACTGGTGATAGTTTATAATAATTAATTCTTTGGCCAGCTATATGTTAGATTGCATCATAATTGGTTATTTACATGTACATTTTATCTTTTGGGGGGGGGGAAAAAATATAATTATGAGAAGGAAAAAGAAAATGATAAAAATTTATTCTTACAGAGAAAAAAAAAAACAATAATAGAAAAATAAAAAAGAAATAATGGCGTTGATTTAATAAAAAACCCAGGTCTCTTAGGTAACCCAAAAAAAAAGAAAATTTATGAATGCTTGTCCACAAATTCAAGTAACGGTGTTATTTACATGGAAAAAAAAAGAAGTGGATATATGGGTGTGATAAAACTTTATCGAAAGCTTGTATCACAATAAAAATAAGAAACCCAAATTGGGTTACAAGGTATGAAAAAAAGAATGTAGTAAATAATAATAAAAATAAAAATGATTTGTTCTATTATAAATGATAGTCCTGAATCCTTTTTGTTTGTTTGATTTTTTTTTTTCTTTTTTTTTTTTTTTTAAAAAAAAAAAATCAAACATCACACATTATTACAACCATATATCTAATAATTCATCGAATATTGATTGAGACACTAAATACTAATATCCCGAAGTATGACTTTAACATTGTCCAAAACTTGACATAAATAAATTTCCTTTTTTTTTTTTAATAATAAAAGGATGTCTTGCATTTACTTTCTTTGACTGTTTAATCGCCGTGAATTGCTACTAGGTATTCCAAATTGAGGCGGTGGTTGTATCGTCTGTGGAGGTTTAACTCGGAATTCGGCCAAGATTACAACGTGACTGAAAATAAAAAAGTAAAAGATTTATTATTTGAATATTTAACGAAATCGATCTATCAAAATAATACATACTCGGAAGGAAAATGCGCATTTGGGAATCCAACCATCTTAGACAAATACTCTTTGTCTACACCTCCCAATAATCCAGTAACACTCAAGGTATTTGTACTATACCAAATATAATCAATTACACCAGTGAAACTTGGGGTGAAATTGGTAAATGGAAGTTCTTCAATATTTGAATAAGAAGACTTGAGAGATAACTTGTGAGATAACCCATCAGAAGTATATGAACCATAAATATGATTACCAAAATCATTATGATCTTGCCGTATGGAACCGCGAGTAAGAAACTCGTATACACCAGAATCCGGAGTTGAATTAAAATCACCACAAATAATTGTTGATATCTTTTGTGGCGAAGAATAATTATACAAGGAATGATTAGGTATGGTACACCATTTTTGCCCAAGCTTATCTAATTCATCCATCAACATTGCAACTTGAACAAGTTTGACATCTGCATAAGATGGATCCCAATGAATGTGACAATTAGCTACAATAACGCGAGACAAGGTCTCTCTATTTTCAAGCAATGTTATTACTGCAATATTGTCTTTTGTTATGACACGATTGAACATATCTTCAGTTTTCTTAAAATCTGATCTTTGTAGCGCAACTTGATTAAATTCTATTAATTGTTTGTCAATTAATTTATACCTAGAATAAGAATTTACGATTGTGTTAATCCATTTCAAAGGAAATTATTATTATCATTATCATTATTATTATTTTAATAAATAAAATACTTTGAATTCTTGTAAAATGTCGCACATCCATCCACCGATTTTCTTTCCCAATCAGCCATTGTCTTTGCTCGAGACTTTGGCCAATATACGCTGTCATAATCTCCAAGCTCGTTGAATGAATCTTTAAAATATTCGTCATATTGAGATGTATCAACCTCCTATTTAACATAAATTAAAATGTATGCAAAACGAATGGATTCATTTCATTCCTAAGGGGGGAAAAAAGAACAACGAAAAAAGAATTATAAATATTTCATAACCAACCTGGAGGCAAACGATATCAGCATTATATGATAATACCTCATGCTTAATTAATTCCTTTCGATAATCCCATTGAAGTGCCCATGAAGGAGTGTACCCATATAACTGAGTGGTTGCATATTTATCACATAGGATATTATAGCAAAGGAGTGTGAAGGTATCTATAAAAACGTTGAAAAAATAAATGAATCCAGCAGATACCAAAGTGCGAAGCTACCCGTTAAATTTAGGAATTTTTTTTTTATTTTTTAATTCAATTCTTTTGGTTTAAAGCTCATTCTCGTCCACAGGAGACATACCACGATCTCCACCAGCTTCATTCTCCAACATTATCCAATCCCGTTCCATTGGTTGTGGTGGAACTTATAATTTCAAAAAAAAATTTTAATATTGTATGCTAAATCTTAAAAATAATTAATTTTCAATTCAAATTGTAAAAACATACCTTGACAATTATCCCGCAAAAAATGTATAACGGCAGACGTACCATCCTTTTGCAAAATGGATTTTATAGTTTCATTTATTGGATTTCCCTCTAATCCAAGTGTTTCCAATTGGTAAAGAGTACCTAACTCAAAAGGTAGGGTTACAAGCATATTGTCAAACAAAAGTAATTCCTTGAGATTCGTTAACATGCCCAATTCCGATGGAAGAACTGATAATTTATTGCCTGACATATCCAGTATAGTAAGGCATCTTAGTTTCGAAACTTCCGGAGATACATAAGTCAAATTATTGTGGCTTATGTAAAGTGTTGTAAGAAAATGGTATCGAAATAATTCTTTGCTAATGTTTTTAAGTCCCATTCCACCCAGATCAATCGTCATCCATTGCTGAAATGGTTGATCAAGTTTCTCACCATTCTCTTTTTTTGAATGAATACCATTTAAAGGTGCTTTGTTTGGATTATTTGGATCGGTTATAGCAATAGCTGAACTACCAAGGCTGCTACGAGCAGCGACAGCGGCTTGACGAGCATGGTGGTGAGGTGAAGCCGATTGACGAGACAACTGAGCGTAATTAAGCTGTTGTTGCCAATGTGCTGAACTTACAGACAAAGGATTTGTAACAGAAGTAGACAAAGCAATGTTTAACTGAGGTTGAGAAACCGTCATACTTGTTTGTTGCATTAACGATTGACCAGGAGGACCAGAATTTTGATTCAGGATCGGGTGTGGGCCAAACGCATGGCTTAAAGGTGGTTGCATTTTATGTGGTAATTTAGTTTGAAAGGAAAATAGGGGCAGGTTACCACCACCATAAATTGCAGGAACACCATGTGAAATAGGATAGTTAATAGACGGAGAAGTTTGTCCAGGAGACGTCGTCGGTGGTGACGGTGTATGTGTGGGTGAATGTACTGGTGAAACAGGGCCATTTGAGGAATTGTTCGGCTGATAGATTAGCTGGTGCGGAAAAGCGCTCATTTTCAAGGCGTTAACAGTGTTCTTTAGGTCTGCAAAAGAATTGATGGAGCAAGTGATGGCAAAGGTTGTACAACATAAAATGTGATTGGTGGAATTATTTATATTATTTTAAAGTTAATTTTTGTCCAATCCTCGAGTACATTATTTCAAGTTCGCAAACCGGCTTTTCGTGGAATTCGCTTAGGCTTTAAACAAGAGAATTGCCTCCACATCGACGGTAACCTTGAGACCTTTTTTTTCCCGATGAATATGTCGTGTTGGAAGATAAAGTCGCAAGGTTTCTTGTATAACATGCCACAGTGGAGTAACTCTGGAATCATGCTTCAGTAATTTAGGTTTTGGATTTTCCAGAAGAACTTTGGCTGCATTACCGAGATTTCAAAGTTGGTATTATAAATCCCTTCAGTGGTTTCTTTGTTTCTCAATAAGGGGCGTATCTTGATCTCCAAAATAGCGTAAAGAACAACCCTCCACATTGTTTCATACGCGGGAATATTAACATTGAGAGAATTTACTAAGTCATCGCCTGAAGGATTATGGAACCCTTTGTTTAATTCGGAATGATCAGTTGTGTCGGCAACACTTGAGGGTTACTTTATTAAAAGCGCTTGGAAATAAGAAAGAGCAACCTTTGAGATTTCCTTCATCACATTACGGGTCTCATTTTGCTTTTCTTGTTGAGATCTTGACGATGCTTCCCTATTGAAGAGATCTTTGAGCAGACAAATTTTGTTTCCAGTATGAATTTCAAATTTTCGTCCTGTCTTGCCAAAAGTTGCTGATCATGCTGGGAACTTCATCGATAACTTTGTCAATGTTCGTCATTCCTAAGTAACCACGGAGAACAACATTATTTAACGCTATTTGCTGAATCCATGGAACAATTTCGACAACGACACTATCTTGACTCGTTTCCAAATGAGTATAATCGTTTACGGTTTTTAGAACAATGTCTTTAATATTTTGCCACTCTTTATCATCAAAATTGATGGATTTAGTAATAACTTTACGGAATTCATGACGATACTTATCATCTGGATTGGTAAAGGGATTTGAAATTCCAAAGGTAAAATGCAATCTCTGATTTGACTTTGCCCGAGAAGCAGTGTCGTAGTTATTAAGTACATCTTTAGCTTTATTCGCATCGCGAATTATCCATTTAGTAGGTTGATGTCGTTGTCTGATTAAATAATGCGCTGTCCCAAGAACAACACAAATTGCAATGATGACTAGATAATTTTAATTCCATGAATAAGTAATAAACGTTTATTGTTTTTTTTCAGGCTTATGATGAACGTCCTTTTATATATATATTTAATAAATTGCCAAATCAATCATGAATAACATTCGGAGAAACACTCCGGCAAAAAACGTTTTAGAGCCACGGGGGATAGTTGTAGTTTTTGTTTTTTTGTTTTACTTTTTATTTTATTTATTTTTATTGAATTTAATACTTGTATAATTTCAACTTAAAATCTAATATAACTTACAGTGATGTGTGATGTGCCACAAACATTCATAATTTTTTTTAAAAAAAAAATTGCATCAGAATCGGAATGGTTTTTCTGAAAATGGATTCGGATAATCAAAGAAATTTTTATAAAAAAAGCTAAAAGACGAAAAATTAGTTGCATCATTGACAAAACTATAATAAAACCTTATTGGCAAAACCGTCGAAATTCGTAACCATAATAAAATCCCGTCAAAAGTCAATATACTTATTGACAAATCTGTCGAAATATAGGGTTTCGACTTTTGCCATTTGCTAAAATGAGTTTTGCCAGGCAACTATAGTCAAAAAAGCAAAAGAAAAGGAAAAGGAATGAACAAGAGAAGTCTAATACTAAGAAAAATGATAATAAAAGAAAAAAACAAAAAAGTGGATGATGATGGCAATTCATCCGAAAACAGAAAATTAAAATAAAGAAAGATGAGAAAATTGCGAAAAACAAGAAAAGCAAGAAAAATCGTTTTGAATAAATTCGAATAGCCGACGCCTATTCAAGCAAGTTGTTGGCCGATTTGTTTAAGTGGAAGGGATGTTATTGGTTCTCCCAATTTATCAGCAAATAGTAATGTCACGCAAATTGTTGAAATAATTGATAATGCCACGGATAAGGAACGTCGTTTGTTAAATCTTCTAGAACAATATTACATTAATAAGAATAGAATTTTGGTATTTCTTTCTTACAAGAAAGAAGCTTCACGTGTCGAAAATATGTTGGCACGTAAGGGTTTGAAGTACTGTCGATTCATGGGGATAAAAGTCAATTCCAACGCACGGAAGCATTGTATGCTTTCAAAAATGGAATTTACCCTCTTTTGATAGCTACGGATGTCGCTACTAGAGTATAGATATTCCCATGTGGAATATGTAATTAATTATACTTTCCCGTTGACTATAGAAGATTATGTTCATCGGATTGGTAGAACTGTGCGGCGCTGGTAGTAAGGTAAATGAGTATTAATTCATCTCAATTAAAAAAAAATATCCTACTTATATGAATTTCTCATTTACACATACTCTTTTTACTCCACATGATAAAGCACATTCTGGAGAACTTATCTATGTTCTACGTCAAGCCAATCAAAAGGTACCAGAATCCTTATTAAAAATTTGGTAGTACCATTAATAAGAAGGAACATAAAGCATATGGTGCTTTTTATAAGGAAGTTGATCATAGTTTGAAACTTACAAAAATTAGATTTGAAGATTAAGAACTTTCGACATTTGTTTTGTAATGATAATGTACTTTTTTTTTTTAAATTTAAAAATTGATTTAAATTATTGTTTATATCCTTCATTTGTTTCATTTGTGCAAAATCATATAAGCATTAAAAAAAAATTCTTTATATAGTGTTAATACTTCAATTTGATGTCAAATTAAAAGATAGATTTGATTAGTTAAAAATAGTTTTGGTTTAATTACACCATGGTATATTGTACATTTGTGGTAATTACCATCTTTTAGCACAACAGTTCTATTTATATCATCCATTTAGCTTTTTATCTATTATAAATCCTCGCTACTCATCTCCTTCCATTATAAGAGATAACTGATCTGTTACTGATAAGAAATCCCAAGGAATGTGATTTATAATGATTTACTGTATTTTGAATTGTATCAAACACTTAAGCATCTTCTCTTCCTTTTGTCTCTCCTTAAATCATATGAATCACTTTTATTAAAATCAAATAAAAAAATTAGTGATCAACATTTAAATCAAAATAAATATAAATAAAATTTATTTAAATCTTAACAGAGTTCCATTAGAATCTTAAATAAATGACAAAATCCAGTAATCTGTTTCTATTATTCATACTTTGTGATAAGTTCTCTTAATAACATAAATAGATACTTTGTAATACTTTTTATGAATTTAGATTTCTCTGCTGTGAGTCTCAAAAAGCAATAATAATTTTACTTAAAAAAATTTTTAATTTAAAAAAAATTTTTTAAAAAAATATTTACCTTTTTTTAAATAATCATTTATAAAAGAAACCAGTTCTCTTATGTGAACAGAAAATTTATCTTTCAGCTGAAATAAAGAATTTTTGATATAATTTATATGGTTTTTATAAAACTAAAATTATAATAAAAAGTATTTTCTGTAATCATTTTGATTACAATAATTTCTAAAGACCATATATTTGTCTGAATTTTATTTGATAATGTAACATGATGAATTAATTTTTATTAAGTGAATGTAATCATAACCTATCTCTAATTACAAACTTTTATGTTATAAATTACTCTCTCATTTATTACTTCAGATATCATTTAAATTTATAAAAATCTTGTAAATTAAGAAAATACTATATAAATATATTGAAATACTATCAATATTTAAAGATTTTTGTTTTTAACTTTCTGAAATTTAATCTCATAATTCATAATCCTTTCTAAACTTTTCCTAAAGAATAACAAAATTCTTTCTATAAAAGCATGTCTTATGTTTTTCAAATCATTGAAAAGGATTCAGTATACTAACAAATAATATTCTTTTTGCAAATGAAACTGTTAATTGTTTTGTCATATTAAAATTACATAATAAACCTTTTTTTCTTTCATTAATAAAATATTTGCTGCTATAATCATTTATTAAAAAATATTAATTTAAAAGTAAATTTTTACCTTTGATACTCTAATGAATTATTTTATATTTATGTAAATAAATCAATGCTTATAAGACTTTACTTGTTATCAAAGATATGTATTTTTCTTCTAAGAGACTAACATTTAACTAAAAAATAATGTTAAATCCTTAAATAAAATAGGTTTTCAAATAATTAAATAAATCTAACACTTTTGCTTGTAATATATATAATAATTTATAATTTTATATTATAAAGAAACTTTCATAATATTTGGTTATACTTTGAGAATCACTATGAGATAATAAGTTTAACTCCTTAATAATATCACCAATGTCATCTTTTTTTATATTCAGATTTAGCACTTTAATATTTAAATAAATAAATAAATATATATAATATATTTGTTAATTTTTTACTAAAAATACTTATTTATCCTTTATAAACAATGTTATAAATATTCTATTTAATAAGTTATTATCTTAAATAATTCCTTAACCTTTTTTTTCTTTAGTATATAATGTGTATTTATCATAAAAAATAAATATAAACTAAAAAATAAATTTTGACATGTAAAATCACTATTATAACTATTTGTAAAACAAACTTCAAGTCATTATCTTTCATCAATTTAAACTCTAGTTAGCAAGATTTTTGTATTTACTGGTCAGTTCATTTAACCAATAATTAATATAATTATTTCTATAATTGTTAAATTATCTTTCTATCATATATGAAGGTTAAATACCTATATTAGATAGTTGCTTTTAATCCTTATTTAATGATGCAACTATCACCACCACTACATTCTTCTTTGCCTTTTCTTTTACCTTCTTTATCATGCAAAAAATTTATATTTATATACAAGTATCAAATACAAAAAAGAAAAAATAACTTAAAAGATAATAATAATATTCTCAACACAAACTTATTAAAATTAGTATCAACTTCAAAAGACCTAGCTTATAAACTATACTGAAATAAGTAAGTTATGAAATAAACGTAAAGTTGTAATTTCTTATAGAGATTGATTATGTTAGTTTGTATATGATTTTATCAAATATATTTTTAAACTCAATGGTTCAAGATTCTTGATTTTCTTAAAAGATAATTTCTTTAAAGACAAAACCAAACTTTATTAAGATATCCTTGCCATCTAAGGAAAATAGTCAGTAAGATTTATTCATAGTTTATTTATTAATTTTTTATTTATCTAGCTAATTAATAGATATTATGTAAATATTAATAAAATAAAAAAAAAATAGTAATAGAAAATACAAGAAGCCATTACAGTCAATTTACTGCTCAAAACATTAAAAGAAGACTAATTTGATTTAATATATAAAAATTTTTTATAGAAAATATTGTTAAAACAATAGATAGGTTATGTAGAATTCTGAAAATTTCTAATATAACTTAGATTTTTTTTTAGTTTCTGATCTGATTATAGATTCAGCTATTTTATCAACAGGTAACATCAAATTAGATTCCAAATTATGATAATTTTACCTGTTTATCACTTATTATAGTATATTTCAACGACGTTAAGTGTATTTAATAATCAGCCTAATAGGTAGCATATCTAGAATAAGATCCTAATTGAAAACCTTTATAGACTAATAGATAGTATTTTAGCATTATTAGATTTTTAGTTATACTACTAGATAAAGAGATCAAGTAAGATACTCTATTCTTAATCCAAAAAATGACCAAACTCACTATACTGTCAAATAACTTGGGAATTGAATCTAACCTCTTTTTCTAGTATAAGGCCTAGACACACAATGACTGAAATAGTATAAGATCAACTATCTGAACTTATAACTTATACTATCATTTTACATATCTACCATTAGATGCTACTCTAAGGCTAACCTTAAGTAGATGATGCAGCACTTGCCCAATATAGGCCAGCCCCTATTATACCATAAATTTCATTTTTCATAATGATTCTAGTAAATCTATTAACTATAACCTCTATTCATAAATGGAAAGACTTGAAACTAATATTACTATATAGATAGACTTAAGAATCATCATATTCTACAAATTCATGATCTATTCACATGCATAGTTTACATGCATTCTATAAAATTCAATCCTGAAATTTAACTAGTAAAATCTGTAGTAAATTAATATTACAATTTGCACTTAGCTGATGTTAAACTAAGATCTATTACAGTATAATCTAAATACAGAAGGTGGACAAAAGTATCCGCACACTTTTTCACTCAATATAAAACTTAT